ACTTTTCTTTTTTTTTTGCAGGTTACCGTTTGCAGCCGCAGGAGAAAAAATTAAAAAATTAAAACCGGCACCGGTACCGGTACCGGTACCGGCGGTGCCGGTGACGAAAATTGGGAACCGGAGACGGTACCGGTTGGGGCGGTACCGGTACCGGTTCCAGGAACCGGTTGGCCGTCTCCGGTGTCGGTAACGGTACTCGGTACCGGCGGTACCGTGCCGGTGACGGTACCGAACCGGTACCGTGTCCAGGCCTAGTCAAGTGCACCTTACAACTCTCTGCCTCCTTTTGTCAAATGTAGCTTACAATTTCCCTGCCTTCTCACATTTATTGTCCATCATAATTCGTAACAAACACATATTGAGTTTGTTTAAAAATGGCCAAGGTTAGGCTAAATTTTCATTTGATCACATTGAAACAAATGTGTGTGGGTCAAAGCATATAAACATGAGCAACTCAACCTTTATTTATGTATATGAGGGTTCTTCCACTGGTAACTATATATAATTCCATATATCCCAAAAAATAAATAAAGAGTAAAAAAAGAACATAAAGTGTTTCACATAAACAATATCATTCCACACAACTTGAAAGACATGCCTAACTAGAAAATGATTTTGTTTTAGAGTAAATTTCATAATTGGTCCTTAATAACAGGGGGTTTCCATATTTAGTCCTTTATTATCAAATATTATCCTCGTAATCCTTTTTTAAGGGTGCCTTTGCACAAATGGTCCTTTTTTGATCTTCTGTCATGTGGGTGTTAATTTAAAGGCTAAAAGTATAATTTGACATCAACATTATGCCTAGTGACGCGTCCTGATATTGTTTAAGCGGATAACATAAAAATAATGACAATGATTATGAGCTAGAATTCCGACGGAAGATCACATTTGTAGACTATGGTTGTAGTAGAAAACGAATGTAATTCACAAACAACGCAAACGGAATAACTTTTAGAATTGTGTATGACAAAAAAGATGTATTCTCATTGTGAAATTAAATTTTTAGCTCTCAATTTAATACCAACATGATAGAAGATCAAAAAAAAGACTATTTGTGGAAAGATACCCATATATAAAGGACTACTGGGATAATATTTGATAATAGAGGACTAAATAGAGAAATCCCCTATTATAAAGGACCAATTATGGAATTTACTCGGAAACTCTTTTGTTTTACATAAACAACACAAAAAATGCAGCTTACAAAGAGACACAATATATAACTAATAACGAAATGGTTTCGCCGTTTTACATAAACAACGCGTAACACACAACAACAAAGAAAGACAAGACACAACTAAGAACAAAAAGGTTAATTAATATGGCCCCTTATCCTTGCCTTTCACGGTTCATTGGCTTTGATCGTTGGTTTGAGAAACTTGATTTCTTTGTGTTGAGCGTTAATCCTGTTAAAGGCCAGGGATGAAATTCTTCACTCTATCGCAAATTAGAGGATCGACCCATATCCAACTCTTGCATTTCTTTCTTCACTGTGAAAAATTAAAGACTTAGAATGACAATATCATATTAAAGGAGACACCTTCAATTATCAAACCATGTCAATAGAATTTAATTAGAGATATTCTAGAAGAAGATGATTGACTTTCGTAGATACAAAAAAGGCACAAGCCAATGAAATTGAGCAATAGAAGCCATAGCATTTAAAATATAAACAAATTGACAAAAAATACAAAAATTACCAATCAAGAATTCAAAAAAAATACTGAGAAAAATAAGAGCAAAAATTTGAAATCAAACATACCTCTGGTTATGCATTTTCAGTAGCCTTTTAGAGTTTAATTGCTACGCCACTGGTGCTACTCAAAATCGGACAAAGAACTCAATGAAGAGGGGCGAGTAATCAGACGAAGAAGGGATGCGCAAAGCTTCTGGATTCCTGTGTAGAATGATTGGTCTACGGTCTACCCGATTAAAGGAGAGGGGTAATGACGAAATAACCCTACATATAAAGATGATATAGTGATTGAACCCACGGTGGCCAAACATAAATGGGGACTATGATGGTAAAATTTGATAAGTGGGGATTAAATATGTAAAATAACCTAAAATTTGGGACTAAGAGCATGTTCTTTAGGATTGAAAAAAAAGAGCCGAATGTTGGAAGAATCTGGAAGGAACAGGAAGAATTTAGAAAAATTAGAAAACCTTAAAAAAAACTTTAAAAAAATTTGTTTTAAATTCTTTTTACTATAAATTATTATTATTATTATTATTATTATTATTATTATTATTACTATTATTATTATCATCATCATCATTATCATAATCATCATCATTATCACATTATCTTAATGAATGCCTTTAAGATACAAAAAAATATTGTTATTTTTCAAATACAAAAAACTACTTTTGCAAAAAAATAATTATAATATAGAGTTAGAATAAATATAAAAATATTAAATTTTAAAAAGTTTTTATGGTTACGTTACACCTCAATTTATTTATGGAGTATTTGTTATAAATAATATATTTGTAATTATACTTTATATATTACAAGATTTTGTTTTAAATATCAAACATGTCACATAATGTAATCAAACCTATTTTTCTTTCATGATTGTCATTTTATTTTTACATTTTTTAAGTTTTACTCCTATTTTAGTCTTTTTCTCTAAACTATTTTGACTTACAATTTTTTTAAAATAAAAATCAGAAAAATGAGCAAATTTTAAGTAATAAAGGGAATGGTGAGATGTCTTATATAAAGTTTAATTAATAAAACATTCTATGTCACTATTTTATCCATAATTTTTTTACTATAGTTTAACATATTGGTATTTTCCGGTTTTATCATGTAGATTAATATACAAAAAAATTATCTTATTAATAATATTAAAAAGTTAAAGAAAAAAAATAATGCATGTGAATCGGAAAAATAGTGAGATGAAAAAAATAATATATAAACTATAGTTATGAAATAGCAGTTGTAATAATAATAATAATAATAATAATAACAACAATAACAATAATAATCACATTAAAAATATATTGTTTTTAGAGTAATTGGTTGGGGAGTAGAAAGAGTTTGAAGAAAATGATAATAGTTGGAAGGAACTGAAAAAAACTGGAAGAAACGGAAAGAAGCTGGTAGAAACTAGAAGAAATCGGAAGGAGTTGAAAAAAATTGGAAATTAAAACCATAACGAACATGTTCTAAATTTTGGAATTTACTCTTAAAATAATAATTTGCCACAATAAAGAGATATTAAGGGAAAATCGAAGAGCGGACTAAAAAAGGATCCCTGCGTGCAGTTTTCTCTTACCGAAAACAGAGCATTCTGTATTTCCGAGCCGGTAGAATCAGAGTCAAGCTAGGGTTTTGGGTGCAAGTGGGAGAGAATGGAGCTGAAGGGGCGTCAGAGTGATGAAGATCTGTCAAGTTCGAAGCGTCGTCGCCTATCAGGTTGTTTAATTTAAATTCTCAAAGGTCAATTGTGGACTAGTTACATGTATGTTCAATTAATTTACAGCCTAAATCGCATCAAATTTTATTTTTTGATTCAATTGCTGTGTAGAACGGACACTGAAGCTTTTAGAGGAGAAGGCATCCTTTCCCAATGTATCCAAGTGTCGAAGGAAACGCAACAAACTAGTCTTCTCCTGCTTCGGGGATACTCACGAGCTCCCTGATTCACTTGCCCTAAATAAGGAATATAATATCGGCTCATATTTTGACACCGAATGCACAGTTTATTCTGAATCCTTCCGATATGTACCAAATGTCGAGGTTGGCAAACAACTGGATGTTTTAGAATTGCTCGGGGATAACCTCTTCAGTTTCAGCACTAGTAGCCACAACGTTCCTAGCATTCTGCCCACCGGATTCACAAGTTATGTGGGTTCATGTGATCCAAATAAAGGCACGGATAAGGGTAGTCGTAATCCTCAAAGGATTCAACCCCCCATATTGAGACGTTGTGTTAATGTTGATGAAGGTGTTTTGGCCTCAACCTCAAGCACAACAACAGGCAAGGAGAATGTTAATGTCGAAAGCACCCTGAACCTAAAGGGTAAATACGTCATGATTTGTTGTGCGTATGTGCCTTCGATATGGTGTTCAACCGATGGACCCATGGTTTATCACACAGCTTTAGCTTCTCATGAGCTCGCGAGAAGAGATGATTTCGTGTTGGTGGTGGTGCCAATGATGAGGGAGGGTTTCACTCACTCTCGCTCTGCCTATCTACACTTCTTGTCGGGTTTTTCCTGCCATGCTGTCCCTTTCAATGACTCTCGCCGGCGTGAGTACATTTGCTCAGCACTCAGGTTTGATGGTAAGCTTAAGGTCGTGATTCTAGATCCATCTCAAAAGATCCTTTACCATGGCCCGCCCGACATGTTTTTTGAGTTTGGGGGAGCTGAGCATGACTGCTTTCCTTTTACTCCAGAGAGAATGGAGAATTGTTTATACCGTGATTCTATTCTGAAGGATCTCTCCCTCAATGAGATTTTGGGCCTCAGTGACACTGATGTTCTATGGAATGTTTTGAAGGATGGTTGTTTAACTATATCAGAACTTAAACAGAAGTTTGTGGGCCTTTACGTGTGCTCTGAGGGTACAAGTTTAAGGAGCCTTCACGAGGTTCACGACGAATGTAGAAGACAAAAGTATGAGCTTGAGATTGTGGTGGTGTGTTGTCCCTGCCATAGGCAGGTTCCCCCAAAGTTGCATGAGGAGTTGATCATTGAAGCTCTTGCAAGTCTTAAGCTGCTAGGCTGGTGGTTTTTTCCCTTTGAAAACACCGTGTGCCGCAGGCTAGGGCGAATGTGTAAAGGGGAGCGTTATGAGGAAGGTCTTTTCATAGTGGATCCTATTGAAAAGCATGTGGATCCCTATGGATTACCAATCATCCTTGACTTCGGCGTGGAAGATTATCCCTTCACCAGGAGGAAATTAATTGAGAAGGAATTGCAAAGGAAAATGGGACTGAGATTGAACTCATTACTACTTCCTTGGGGAACTGTTACTGCCTCACTTGATAGCCACGACGTATTTCGTTTTCCGACGGGAATGCTTCAGAACAAGATTGTTGTTCTTTATCTGTACATAGAGCCGTGGAAACTTCTAGCTGATAAATTAGCTGCATGGCATAAAAAGAATATTAAAAGAAAGCATTCAAATGTTGTTGAGGTGGTTGCGGTAAGCATAGATGGCAGCGGCGCTAGTGAGAAACACTTGATGGATAAGGGGTGGTTTGTATGCCGCGCTGACCCATCCAAGTCATGTAAACTCTGTGATGAATACTTCCATCCTCTATGCGGGGTACACGAGACTCTTGTTGCATTTGGTGAAGATGGCCGGATTCAATCTATGGATCCGAATCACATTTTGGAATCTCAATTTCCTCCTTTCCATGGCAATCTACGTGAAGAGATTGCTCGGGAATTTGAAGACGCTGGGTTTCATTACATGCAGGGCACATTGATGACTGACTAATTTTGAAGGGTTTGCATGCTATACTGATTTTTGAATTGATGTCCTGATAATTATTTAGGTCAACCATTTAAATTAATTATTGTGATACATTTTTAGTTAAAATAGTTTTGTGAAATTATGACCCTTCTTCAAGGGTTTTCTTTTCGATTCTTTTCCTTGATGTTTTTTTTTAACCAACCAGGTAAGAATTTGTTGTGGGTAATGATTTTTTATTTGTTTAAAATTTTGTGAGGGCATTCAAAGCTATGAATGAACTCCTTAACATTTAAGTTGCTGAATATCTTCCTAGCTAGTAGTATTATGTCCAATAACATTATTATAACCTAATATTTGGTCCTTTTCTTGTTTGTTACTTCTGTCTTCCTCTCCGATTTAGTGCTAAATACACTAGCAACTCTTGCGTATGGTTTTGAATACTCTCTTGAACTTTGTAGTCTCACTCTTTGTGTGAAGCATTAGAGCATTCGAAATACCCATGAAGTCCTGGAGGTTTCAAAGTGTGATTGTAAAATTTTTCTTTGTCATGCCAATTTTAATTTATCTCACAGTTTCAAACTGGGGTTTCAAGATTCTATTCTAAAAATTTTTAATACACATTTTGTTAAATTAAATTAATAAAACTTCATTAATGAATATGAAAATAATTTTTCAAATTAAAAAATTACATTCAATAAAAAAACATTTAAATAAAAAAATATCCTGATAAAAAAACTAAGATAAAATTATATTTGGCTTTGATTTTTTTTCTTCTCTTATAAAGTGTATGTATGAAGCTCAATAACGTATCAAGGTTGCTTTTCATTATTTCAATCTCCTCCTCTTGTGTCTTTAGAGAATTCACAATGACCAGATGAATCATGTTTGATATTCTCGTGTGTAGAGCAATGCACTCCCTATCTAGCATTTTAGGACCAATGGTGCAACATTTTAAATTGTTCAAGGGTTTTTGGCGATGCCCTTGAAGATGATGCCCTCTTTCCCTTTGCCTTATCCCTACCGACGGGCTGTGTCGGCTCTAGAGGGGTCGCAATATCATCGTCGTCACTAAACAATATTGACATCCAACGAGCGTTGAACCCCTAGACCTACTATAATCATCGGACTCCAGTGTCTTGGACCAGAGCCCACCTTGGGCGTACACATCTCCCCCACTTTCATATTTGAGAAAGATGTATTATACCAGTCTTGATACGTGTTCAACGTCATTTTTAAAACATCTTGGTCACTAGCCTCCCCACTTTGCCGAGTGAGGATGGCAAAGTTGTATATACCGACAATTTTATTGACTTTGGTAATCAAGTCGTGATATTCAAAGGAGATGACATCGGCGCTACGATGGTGCTCGACATTTATAAGAGGGTGAAATTTAGCCATTACCCTACTCCAAAAGCCGTCTACATTTTTAGTCGTCCCTAAACGCGAAAAAAACTTGCAAGCAAAAAAAATATAAGTAAAAAAATTAAGAAAAATTGCAAAGTAAAAAAATTAACCTTTAATCGGCTCTTTAGAAACGTTCACCTGGTCCCCGATTCCTCCTTCGTCGCCACCCACACTTGCTTTGCTGCCCGACTTGTGGAGTTTTCATTGTGCGCGACCTTTAAATTTTCGGACTAGTTTCGTTTCAGGGACACTCTCAATGGGCGTGGGTTTGACCGTTCCCGAAATTTGTGATGGATTTGGTAATAATTAGCATTGACACTTGAGAAATTGCAAAAGTTATGATCCAAAATATGCCTTTGGATAATATCTAGAAATATTAAAAAAATAAATAGGTTGAGAGAATAGATTGAGAAGAGTGATTTTTAAAATAGTGAGGGATGGTTAAATTAGAATTTGGAAAAGATAAAAATAGAAAAACTGACTGTTTGACGGCGAGTTTGGGGGGAGAGGAGGGAGGGCGATGTTCCACGTTGTTGCGGACACCTATGTGGCACCCCCGAGCCATCACGACGCACCACAAGCGACCACACCGCATGGTCTTAGGGAGGAAAAAATACATTTTCTATCGGAGTAATGCTAAGAGTACACTAAACATTTGTGCCCCATCTCTACCCACACATACCTCCCTTATCCACCTCCCAATCTTCCTTTCCCATCTTTTAGGGTACACCACCTCATTCATTCATTGTCTCCTGCAATTTTACAAATCAACCTTTGTCTCCGGCGGATAGATCTACAGTTCTACACCAACTAGGACCGGTGGTCACCATCAAAATCTCATTTACTTGGGTAAAATTTATGGACATTAATACTCAGCAACTCTTCATTTTTTCGCTCTCTTCTTCCATTTCTCATTAGCACTTTCATTTTTATATTTTTCAGGTGGACAACATGAACATCTTGAACTGGCTAATCTGTGGTAAGAGCTAGGTTTTACGGTTCTAGTAGATTCAGTCATTTACATATTATGATATGGTTCTAGAAATCTTTCCAAAATCATGTGTGTAATGAACTTCACAATGGCTTAGTCAAAGTGATTTTGCCAAAATCAGATGTGTAATGTATTTGGAAAGCTCCTGAATTTCTCCCAATTTCTGAGATTTCTTTTTCTGGTGTGGTTTCAGTCTTTTAGAGTAATGATTTTCATATCCTCACAGGGTCCATAAACCCACACAAGGTCCAAGCCCAAAATGTTGTGAGGGAACAAGTACGAAATTACAAGGCCTTGAATGTAAATAATTTGTCAAACCCAATCAGAACCTAGAAAAAATTAAGATAGTTTTTATTATATCAATCATAAACCACTAACAGTGCATGATGATGATGATGATAAAAATAATAATAATAAATACAACAACAACAACAATAATAATAAACATTTAATAGCTTCACCACTACTTGTCTAGTTTTGTTTCCAGTGAGTAGGTTTTTGTTTTATTACTGTGTTAAATGGTGGTGTCCTGCTGTATTGTGTCATATGGTGATGCATGGGACTTGTAGGGAGAGTCTCAAGGACAGGGCAAAGACACAGAGCCAATCGCAGGGTGGAGTACACTGAGGTATCTCTTGTTGCCCACCCCACTTTGGTGGAACCCACCCACCACCCTACTCCAACTGCACCCAATCCCCAATCTACTTTAGTTGCTCCCTCTCCCCCTGTGGGATTTTTTGCCGTGTTCACATCTGCCAAAGCATTTGATGCTATTGGCAAGGGGAGGCTAACAGAAGGAATTTGTAAAAGAGAGTGGCTGTTACATGGGTTATGGCCCAACCCGAAACAAGCGACAAAAATAACTAAAGATCATATAAAACCCGAAGACTTGATAGAATCTAATCCTGCAATAGAAGATGCTTGGAGATCTATTGACAGGAAGCGGACGTCAGGGGAATTCATGGTAACCCAATGGGCCAAACATGGCGTCTACAACCCCAATCTTGATGCTGTAGACTATTTTAATCTGGGCGTGCTAGTGAACCAAGAGGGGAAAGAGCTTGAAGAGAACATCGAAAGGGCCTGTATGTACTGAGTAGTTTTTATACTTCCTTATGTTTAACATTCATAATTTTTAATTTTTAAAACTAGACCTGCTTGAATACATAATTATTCTTGAGTTGTGTTAAACAGATGCAGAGATATCAAGCTCATATAAAGGGCCCGTGATTGAAGGGCAAGATGAAAGGACCACTTAGCGTCCAGTCTTGGTGTCGGCGCTCTCCGAGAAGCTCGGAAATATTTATGGTTGTCGGCCAAGCATCAAGGCCATCAGAGTGAAAGGAAAACTTCTTCTGCATGAGATAGGCTTTGAGATAGAGCACGACCCAAGCACCGCAAGCTACAGAAAACACAACGTCGATGCATCAGAGCTTTATAAATCATGCCGCTCAGAAGACATGATATTGATGTAGAGGTGCCTAATGTGTGTTTTATTTGAAGTGTTTTTGTTTGTTAAATATCTACTGTTATGGTGCTCTTGTTAAAGTTTCCTATTTGCATTGCTAGTAGTTGTGCTTGGACTGATGTCTATTCTATTTGAAGTGTTTTGTTTGTTAGAGATCTATTTTTATGGTGTTGTAGGAACACACCTTAATTTCATCAATATTAGTGATTATACTTTTATTGACTCTGTCTTATACTTAAACTTGATATTGTATCCCTAAATGCATGTACACTTAGCCTTGGAGTAAACACGAGCAGCTCTACGAAAGGTAAGTTTCGAAAGGTAAATGTGAATATGGCTGCGTTTGGAAAATGGCAATTCGGCCAAAAATCAGCTGTTCTGACCGACAACGGCTGTTGGACTATTTTAACAGCTAAAGTTGATGTTTGGCAAATGGAGGTTATGGACGGCTGTTGAGTCTCCAAAAGCCAATTTTTGAAACGCTAGCCTCCTTAGCGTTTTAGTTTGGCAATTGCTATTATTACTTTTATGTCCTTATTTATAAAATGCCTTGTTGCAAATCTGATCTTGTGGTGGACACAAAAAAAAAAGAAAAAGAAAAAGAAAAAAGGTGTGGAGTTTGTATTTGATTTTTTTAAGCAAGGAATGTACGAAGCAATTTTGTGTGTGGCTATTGAGCAAAGTAAAATTATTTTTACCACTTTATACTTGAATATAAATATTTTGAATACGTAAGTATTAAGTATGTATAGAGTAATTATTTATTTAAAGTTAACTAAATATATATATGAAGAAAAAGAATACTTAAATAATATATTATACTCTGTATTATATTAAATAAAGTCTGCGTATTTTATCAAAATTAAAAAAATTTAAAATTACATACAAATTAACATAAATGGATGGATGTCCTTTTATGTAATTTCACTTACAAACAGCTAACTATAAACAGCTAAAATTGCTAAACACTTCAAATTTAACAGCTAACAGAAACAGCCGGTCAAAACAGCCAACTCAATCAACCATTTAAACTAGCCAACATAAACTGCCAACAGCTAACTGCCAGTATCCAAACAGGGCCTATGAAACTCTAGAAGAGCAATGTTGATTTGTCATATTTACCTGGTAAAAAACATTTTGCATCACTATCCTTATTGTTCCTGTATTTAAATTAATTTGCATGATTGGAAATTTTACTTATATTCCAACGATTTAGAGCAATCATAGCCCCATGGACAACTGGACGAGTGAGAATACCATTTTGTTGGAGCAATCTATCTGAAAGTATTTTGCTTTTGGTGATTAAAGTTGTTCATCGTCGTATATGTGGTGAACCAAACTTATTGTGCTTCACTTTTATTGACTTTATTATTGACCAAAGTTAAGATGAAAGGTGCACTATTTAAACAATGAGCTTGAACCTGACAAAAAATGGATCCAACTTGTTTTTGTCCCAAGACGGGCCCGAAATTATTGGACTTCGAACAAAGGCTTGGTTGACCAAGTCCAAAGATGACCGAACACGAAATAATCCGTTAAAATGGGCGAAACTCAATGGAATCCAAACACGATCTTACCGACCCACTAACATAACAATTTTTTTAAATTATATATTTTAATATAAAAAAATACTCCGTAATGTAATAAAAATAAAATTAAATTTGTATCTTTTCCCAATCATTTTTAGTTTTAGTGTATAAACATATATTTTCAAATAAGTCTTAAATGATATCACATAGTTATCTTATGTTGTTTTCAAAAGTGATACTCCCTCCCTCCCCGAGTATTTGTCATCTTTTGACTTTTTTCAATAAAAATTGGTAAATTTTAACTTCAAATTAAATAAAAATGATATTAGATATTGATACAAAAAATAACTTTATTAGATTCGGAATCTGAAATATTTTCAAAATATTACATTACTTAATTAATATACAATATAACTTTTATTTAATTATAGGTCAAAATTTAAAACGATTTACTGGAAAAAGTCAAAACTGGACATATACTCCGAGACAGAGGTAGTATATATTATATTTTTTATATCATTCATGATATTGTTAAGCACAACTAAAAAGTACTACCTCTGTCCCATAGTATTTGTCCAATTTTAATTTTTTTAAGTCAATTTTTTTTACCTTTGACCTTTAATTAAATAAAATGTATATTGTATATTAATTAAATAAAATAATATTTTGAAAATATCTTATATGATAAATCTAATAAAACTATTTTTGTATTAATATCTAATACTCCCTCCGTCCCCCTAAGATGTTCTCATTTTGACTTTTGGTGATTTTTAAGGAGAGTTGAAAAAAGGTGAAAGTTTACCATAATACCCTTAATGAAAAATGGGTGGAGTGTATTAAATGAGGTGGGTGAGGTGTAATAAATAAAGTAAGTGGGGGTAGTTGTGGTATTCTACTTGTTAAAAAATGAAATGAGAAGATCTATTGTGGACAAAGAAAAAGGGCTATTGGGAAGATCTATGGGGACAGAGGGAGTATCATTTTTATTTAATTTGTGGTGAGAGCTTACTAATTTTGACCGAAAAAAGTCAAAAGCAGACAAATATTCTGGGACGAAGGGAGTAATTAGAATTTAAGATAAAATACTCTAAGACGTTTAATTTATCTATATTGATATATTATTTTTTTAGTGCAAAATACAAGTGCTAGTATGAAATGAAAATTTTTAAAAATAAATCTAACTGGGAGGGTCGACCCAAACCTAATGATACTGCTCATAAATGTATTTCTCAACCAGAACCTGAATTTACCCAAACCTGATGAGAATCGAACACAAAGTAACCAAAACGGACCAAACGACTTAAGTGCTCTAAATTTGTACACTATGACCCATAGGAATTTGTGGTTGTTATTGTCATTGCCTTATAATCAAAGTATTGCGGAATACATTTATTTGGGGTTGAGGGAGTATTTTTTCCATTTCAAACAGCCTAAAAAACACCTTATACTATGCTGCCCCACAATCATTTAACAACCTCGTTCCTTATGTTGCCCAGTTCATAAAATTGATGGTTTCTACCCCCCCTCTTAGGAAACCCCACCCCAACCCGAACCTACCCCATAACCCCTTCAATTGAGCTCCCAAGTTCATTTGACATTGAACTCAAAATTTTGACTCCAAAGTCAAATAAACTTGGGGGTGCAATTGAAAGAGTTAAGGGGTGGATTCAGGTCGAGATGAAGTGGGGCATGTATCGTGGGGTTAGGACGGTAAAGATCGTCAATTTTACGAATGGAGTATCGAGACAATGTCAAGGAAGCATTCCCATCATTTAGGCTCTGTTTGGTACACAGAATCTGAACAATGAAATTGAAATTGGGGACAATAGTTTTAATTTTGGTGTTTGGTAGCACAAAAATATGTGAATTTGGAATTAGTAGTGCTAAAATTGAATTGGAATTGAAGAATTCAATTCCACCCAAATCAATTCTATAGAATTCTAACTCTCAATTCAATTCTAATTTCATCAATTCCATGTAACGGACGCTTAATTTTTTGCAACCGCTTTTCAATCTAAATTATACTCATACAAATACAGAGTATCACTTTTGTCAAATGTTAAAAAAAATTGGGAAAAATGGAGTACTACAGATAAATACTTGCGGTAAAATGATTATGGGTGTTTGCTAAAACCACTACTCCTATTGCCAAATCCACACCTGCTATCATAAATGGACAACTATATCCTTATAATTGCAAAAATGGGATAGATAACATGGGCTAATTTAAGGGTAAAATTAGACATTTATTATATATGGGGTAGATTTAACCAAATGAAAAGTGCATTTAACACCATTTGATTATATAATTCGTTAAATGACCCATGAAAATTGGTTATTAGTACAATAACAACCAAGCAAAATTCCACATAAGTAGGGTTGATGATGGCGAAGGTGTGTGTATGCATACTTTACTCATACTCCAAAGTATAGAGATTGTTTCGAAGAATCCCCAACTCGAGCAACATAAAAAGCACATTGCATGACAAAGGATCGAAGAATCAGAGAGCAAACAAAGGTAGAGAAAAAACACAAACAGAGAGATAAACAGCACACAAAGCGCCACTGCAATACACACATCCTAAAAGAGGGTAAAGAAAAAATATCCAATTGACTGTGAAGTAATAAGGATGTGTTTGGTACACGGAATTAGAATAGAATTGGGAGTTGAAATTCCTTAAAATGATTGGATAAAATTGAACTCTTCATTTTCAAATCATTTTTGGCACTATCAATTTCAAACCCGCACATTTTTGTACTACCAAAATGCAAGATTGGAGCTGTTGTCCCCAATTCCAATTCCATAGTTTGAATTTCGTATAACAAACGGAGCCTAAATATAATACAAGTCTCAAATTACCATTAAAGTTAAAACCAAACCACATAAAACGTCTCAAAACTATCCAACCGCATCCAAGTTAAAAAAATAAAACAATTTAAACTACCTAATTGTTCATTTTCAAATACTTCCTCCGTCCCTTAAAGTCCTTCCCATTTTGACTTTTAAGAGGATTAAGGAAAGAAAGTTTTTGTGTTGACTTTCCTAGAGTATGTTTGATCTAATGACTTAAAGTAGGAGGTAATAGTTAGATTATTACTAAAAAGATATGATGCCATAGATATGGTAATAATTAGTAGGGGTAAAAAAGTTTTTTTAAATGAAATGAGAAGGACTTTGTAAGACAAAGAAAAAAGAAAAAAGAAGTTTATGGGACAGAGTGAGTACACATTTGAAAAATAAGAATGCATGTGGTGTTTTTGAATGTGAGATCTAAGGGCCATATAAATTTGAAAAACTAGAAAAAATCAGGAAAAATGGGGTGACAATTTTGTAATTAAATTGAATTTTGTAAAATGCACTATCTTCTTTGTAAAATGCATCATTCTTATTTCTTTCACAAGGTCCATTCTTACGGGAAACAACAGTGTGTGTGTGTGTGTATATTCTAAAGTTCTTTCAGAGCTTAGATCTAATGCTTATGATGCATATGTTTCCGTTAAGGAGAATTGGATTGTAAGGGCGGTTCTCATCTACGTCTAACCATAGTATTGGATCGATTTTCGGTATCAGATTTTAACCTTTTAATTGATAAAGTGAATAAAGAAACAATTGAGCGTAAAGGTGAATAGTAATCGTAATCGATCGGAAACTGATACGTACCCGTCGGCGACCTGCTACGGCGAAGGGATGAAATCTACGCACTGTTTGTTCTCTCCTTCCTCCGCTCTCTCTTTCTTATGACACGGTTGCGGCTGGCGACAGCGATTAGGAGGGCTAGGGCACCTATACATTTTTATACCTATTTATTTATGGTAGTTTTTTATGTTTTTCATACTGCGATATTTTGCACTTAACCGTAAAAAAAACAAACAAAAAAGTGACTGACAAGTGAGGACTAACAACCCCCCATCCCCCACTCACTCTTTAGCGGATTGAAAATATGTTTAAGGCCCGGGTTTCAAATCGAGATTCAAAATTTTCTTTCTTTCTGTGCCACGTAAGCTTTAACTTATCTTACAGATTTACTGGAAATAGGTTTGAACCTCTGAGGCTTCAAACCTTCATTTTTTACATTTTTAAATATACATTTTCTAAAACTAAATTAGTAAAATGTAATTAATTTATTATTTAATTATATTAAAACACGAATAATAAAAAATACATTCATTAAATTTAAAGAAATTGAAACGACAATAATTTAAAATTTAAAAAAATAACATTCGTTAAATTAAAAAAACGACAATAATAAAAAAAGATACATTAACAAAAAAAACTAGGGTAAATTATATTTCGCCTTCATCTCTCTTATTCTTTGCGCGTACATCATCCATTTGAAACCCGACAACGTAGAAAGGTCGGTTTCCATGACTTTGATCTCATCCTCCTGCTCCTTTCGTTTCATCTCCTTCTCCTTTAGCTTCATCATCTCTTCTTCCCGAAGATTGAACACACCCGAAATTGTTCAACCATTGCCCGAGCGATTTCGTCGTGAGAAGAAACCGAAATAGAGTCGGACCCTCCCGAACCCGAGGCAATCGATTTTCCCTTCTTTCTTCCGATCGGCCGTGGAATGGGGTCCTCGTCATCGGAATCTGCAACGTTGAATGGAGGCATTTGATCGGACGAACCGATAATCTCATCGACCTCAACCTCGGCATTGACGGAGGATCTTTTCTTTGACGATCCGCAGTTGGAATTGTTGAGTTGTTGTCACTTCGGGGAACGGCTCAAAACCTTCCAAAGATCGATGGGCACCTTGCCTTGGTGCTCGTCATCTTGATACCGGGTCGCGGCAAGCCGGAGGACATCGGCATTGTTCGTCCCGCTCCTCTGGGAACGAGCGCATTCCTCGTAAACTCCGATAAACTTTCGGACTTTATGGTTGATGTGGCTCCATTTGGAAGTGAGTTGGTCCCGGGTACGGTAGGAGCCGTCGTTGTTCATCGCCGTGAAGAATTTCTCCTCGATACGATTCCACATCGCATCATTCGTTTGCTCCGAACCTTTAAAAAAGTATAACACAAAATTTTTTTATGGCACGATTAAATATAATTTTCTATAAATAAAAACATAAATATATTAGAAAACATATAATTTTTACCAATGATAGGATGCTCGGAGACATCAGCCCAAGCCGATGCCAATAAGCACTCCTCCTCTGGCGTCCACTTTTGGATTGACCGTACCGCCTCCGTCATCGTGCCTTTTGCTTTGTGGCTTTTCCAGCGTGTACTTTTTTTCGAGTCGGATGGTTCCAGTTCAGTCTCCGGAACCGAATCTCGCTCGACGTACCCCAATTGTTGAGTCTCGAAGATTGGCGGATGATCCCCCAATTCTTGGAAATACAACATCGCGACATCGCTTGGTGCGAGATTGTCAGGAAAAAAGCTGGACCCGGAAGGATTCATGTTCAAAAGAGAGGGGGTGAGTTTGAAATTGAAGAATGTGTGAAGAAGATTGAAGGTGTGAGAGAATGAGAGGGGGTTGAAATTTATTTAAAAAATTAAATTTTCTTTTTTGGTCTTCAACGGCTATTAGAGCCGTTAAGGGGGGAGGGAGTTGCGTCAAACTACTTACGCCGACCCGGTGACGCCCTTATCACGTCGATGGGGGCGGTGTTTAACGCCCCCCGGTGTTCAAACCGGCGCTCACGCCGGTGTGCGTGATGCCCATTACCAGTGGCCTTAGAGAGCAAATCACGGATTATTAAGTCGGCCCGGTTCGGTGGTTACTGGGTTTCAGTGGCTACGGAAGTCACTGGCTCTCAGGAGCTCCGTTCATAAAATTGATGATTATTACCCCCGCAAGTGGCCGC